TCAGTATATCGAGATTTGACTGTATAAAGTTTAGCTTTTATAACACTTTTTTTTACTTTTTTAAAAACTATTTAGATATTATTAATATTTATATAATTTAATTCGCTAATACTTATATAAGAAGATTTAAATTTTATTAAGTAAGATTCAACATTTATTATTATATAGATTAAATCCTATTTTATTTATCCTCTTTAGATATATTTGATGATTATAATTATGATGACTATATATATTATATAAAATTAACTTTTTAGTTTTAAGATATTCTAAAACTTATCATGTTGAAGTTTTTTTTAATTATATATTTCTTAATATCTTTTATTTTTAATACATTATGCTTTTTCTTCTAATTCTTTTATCTTTAAACTTTTATATTCTTTCTTCTCTAACTCTTTTTAAAATCTGCATCTGTTTTAGAAGTTTTTGAATCATATATAATTAGTATTAATATATAATCTTGTTATTTAGCTTAAAATATGATTTTTTATCATTTAGTTTTATGATTGATAATTATTTTGTCATATTATAAAAATACGTTACATATTATATGATTTATATGACCTTAATTATATGATATAACTTTAAGTTTTATTGCAAAATTGCAATCTATTTAACGTTTTTAATATCAAAGATATTAAACTTATTGCAATTTTGTAATATTTGATACTACTGATTTCAAGATATATAAATATTGTGATTTTATAATAATTTAACATCCTAGACGTCAAAAATATTAAAATATTACAATTTTGTAATAAATTTAATATTTCAGATGTTAAAAATGTTAAATATTGCAATTTTGTAATAATTTAATGTTTTAAATATCAAAGTCATCAAAATATTACATTTTTATAATAAATTTAATTTTTTGATCACAAAGAAATCAAAAATATTGCAATTTTGCAATAATTTAATATTTCAGATAAGGTTGCTTATCTAAACTAATTTTGGATTTGGCAAAATATCTAAACTTTAGTTTTGCTAAATTTTTACTAAAGGTTTTTATATAGTTTTACATTTTTATAAGCTTTGATATAGTTTTATCTTATCATGAGTTTTGCAGACTTTTAATAAGGTATTAATATAATTTTACTAAATTTTATCTTATATTATTTAGATAATTTGCAAATCCTCTAGGTTTTGTTAAGCTACCTTAGTTATAACTAATTATTATATTATTAAAAATTAAGTTATAATAAATGACAAATAAGTATTGTAGAGTTGTAATTTCATTATTTGATACATATTTATATTATATTACAATTTTGTCAAAGTAATATAGTTAAATAAAAGTAAAATATTTTAAATTTTTTAAATGATTTCTTTTAAGTTGTTTATTTATTTAAGTTATTTAGTTTATCAAATATAAGATTTTTATAGAAAACCAATTACTTTTTAAAGGGTTGCTATTTTATAAATTTCACTTTCCATAAAATCTTAATATATTAGTTGTATTTTTTAAGTATAACTATTGTATAATACATAACTAAGCTTTATATATTTAAGGCAATGATATTTATTAAGTAATTTTTTAGGGGTAGGAGGGTAAGCGAAATTCTTAGATTACACATATTAAAATCTATCACGTGATATAATTATTTATTACGTAATAAATTGGTTATGTAATTATCAATAACTGTAGCTTAGCAAATTTATTAACATGTGTCATTTAGATAATCCATACATTTAGAATGCATTACATTTAAAATACATATATTTAGAATGCATATATTTAGAGTATATACATTTATAACACAAAAATTTAGAACGCATATATTTAGAATTTACATATGCATACATATAAAAGACATTTATTCATTATTTGAAACATATTTTCTTAAAGATCTTTCATTTAATAAAGAATTTTCTCTCCTTATTGTGAAGGAAAAAGCGAAAAATTATCTATAGTCAAAGAATTTTGCTTAATTTGACTTTTAGATTTTCCTTTAGATCATTCATAAAAATGCTTTGTTTACTTGTAATTTGTCAAAAAGGTGAGAGTTGAAAAGTATTTGTTACATTCAAAATAGCAAAGACATGAATAAGTTATTCTGTTAAGCGATAGATAGTGTGAATCGTATTCAGAAACTTTTAAACGATCATAATACTTGAGAAGATATACTGGATTCGTATAATGTCTATCCTTTGCTTTTGTGATAGGAGGCAAAAAACATCATTTACTTGAAGAAATTCTATGGCTTCTTTTACACAAGGTGACCTACAGCAGCTTATATTTGTGCATCATTTGATATCAAGAGAATACTGATACAAATTGCAATAGTTTTCAATCTATGACTATAGTACAAACATTCAGTTAAGTTGGTTATTTCTTCCTTCTCTTGTTTCTTTCATTTTTCTTGTTTTTTTAATTCTTCCACTTTCTCTTTATCTGTACTCTCAAACTGCAGATTTTGAATGGATTTTTGGACTCTTCGATATACTTAGCATCTACATGTTTTCCAAAGATCAAATTGCGATTTCAAATGTTACAAAGCATCTCTTCAGCATATTTGAAATTTTGAAGAACTAATTCTAGATTTATCACTTTGCCTTACGTGTTTAAGTGTATTTCAAAGTGATTTATTAGTAATGTAACACTTGCCAACTTATTAGATAGTGTTGCTATTCTCCTTTCTATAGGATTATACTTGAATTATCTTAGGGCATGCGTTCGTACGCTCAGGTAATCCAGGTTAAATTTTTTATAAAGCTGACAATAAACTTTTATGTTTTTTAGATGCTTTAGATTTTCATCCGGTCCTTTATCGACTAATAGTATCCAGATCAGTCAAATTTCTCTATTAAACTTCAGTACATCATCATATTAAAAATCTTGGGTGAGGCATTCTAGATCCTTCATATATGTAAGTGAGGATGTATCAAAGGACCACTGACAACATATAAAGATAGCAAGCTGTCCTATTCATAGATCCTTATTTTTTCATTCAGTTTTATCATAAGATAAACTGATAAAATTAGCTTTTTTCTAAACTCTGCAGGAAAATCATGATTCACTACGTTCATAGGTTCATTTACTGATTGTAACGTTTAAAATGTCCATCCTACTGTAGGTACATCTAGACCAATCTTCGCTTTATCACCTTGAGAAATAATAACACTCGCATTAGCAAATAATGAAGCAAATTTTTTTGTACATTTAACAGATGCAAAGCAATAGTGTCTGTCAGGATGATCTTATATTTCTGTGTGTAAAACTCTGGTTACTACAACTCACGCTGGATGATGATATGCCTTTGCAGCAATTGAATTGGTTTGTCGAAGTAGCAGATAATTGTTTAGTATTATTCTCGCCATATAAATATTGTAGTTTTTTTCAAGATTCTTACGCAGATTTTCGATTATCTGGACTTTAACTACTTCTTTTCTTCTTTTTTCATCTGCTATCCCAAACTCGATTGAATCATGGATATGGTCATATAAACTCAGATGCTTGAAAAGAAGTGAAGGACGATTGGGTTTATCATACTGTATCACTTCCTGATTTTTGATAAGTATTTTTTTTTTTTTTTTCTTTACATTTTCGAGCATAACTTGTATTCTTTTATAACTTAGTAATTCTCTCTTTGTTAGATTTGATTTTAGCTCAGAGATCCTTAGTCATAATATCATAGATTTATTCAAATTCAGTAAGGTTCTTCTCAGCTGTTGCTATTTCATTTGCTGCCTTTTTTTGAGCCGATGTATTAACAGGGATTTCTGATACAGAATCCACTGGATGAATAATAGGAGAAGCTGGAATGGAATTTTCTTTAGGTACAGGATGTCTTGGTCTCAAAGTTTGTATATCATATAGATCAAATGGCGTATCAAGGTAATTTCTAATAATATCATCAATTTCTGTTTTATTCTTAAATTTGATTTTGTTTCATTCTTATGCAGATTCGCAACAAACTTCAACATGGTTAGGAGTACCACTTCCTGTCTTAACCATAATATTATATACATAAGTATTTGTAAAATCCTGATACTTATTTGCTAGTAACTTATATTAGTTTTTTGTTAAACTTAAGGCTAAAAAAAAAGGTTTGACGATTCATTTTACTTTAATATGAATTGATTACTAGGAAAATTAGGTTCTGGAAATTTTTTAGCGAAATTGAGATTTTTATTGCATTTTAGTTTTTAGTGTTATTAGATTAAAATATATTAAGCTCTTAATTTTAGTCAAAAATTCTCAAAACCTGATTTTACTAGAAACACTTCCATATAATATTGATGCTTTTTTTGAAAAAGGTTTTGCAGTGAAAGTGTTAAAAAAATCGAATGCGTTATGAAGATCTGAAACTAGTTTTTGTAAACGTGAAAAACTTTCTTTCTGCGGCAACGTGATTATTATGGGATACATCTCGCATGATTATCAGTGTATAACCGATAGAATACTAATACGATTATAGAATACTTTGATTTTTAGAACACAATTTTAGATTTTGAAACATTTATTTATAATACAATTTTATTTTAGAACATATTTTAAATTTTCTCACTGAAATATTTAAGCCATTAAATAATAAAATTTTTTAATTTATTTCTTTCAACTGATGTATGATTCTATAAAAGGCAAATGATCTATATACACGTGATCAGAATATCTTACCTGAGAGTGGGAAGGTAGATGCTAATAATAAAATTTTATTAGGTAATAAATGTCACTGCCCTTATTAAAATATATGATACAAATTATTTATATCATATTTTATAATTATCTTTGAAATCTAAAAAAAAAATTGGTAGTTTTTTATTAGAATTGTATATATATATTATAAATTAAAATAAACATTTGAATATATTTTAATTTGGTAAATTTGATTTGCTCCAATGAATTTTGGCCGCTAATTTTTGCCAATCATTCGGCGAATTAAACATAAAACCCATAAAACCAATAAAACCATGACTTATAAAAAAAAAAATGAAATTTTATTAATGCATTAATAAGAATAATTACATTATATAGTACACTATTTTTATATTTTTTTTATTTATAATGATCTGCTTCCGGAATCGTTATCACCTTTTGAACCAATTATAAAAATTCTAATTTGTCCGACCATTCCTTTTAGTTCCTTTAACTCATTATTTAAATCATCTTTAACACTTTTCAATTCTCTTTTAACAAAATCAACATCCAATTCACCCATTTCCTCCAACTCTAGTTTTCTTTTCCAATTTTTTATAGAATCTACATGAGCTTCATAATATATTAAATGAGGGAACCAATCCGGATATTGACGTTGCGAGGGTGAGAGCATTAAGATTTCAAGTTCCGCTATTAATTCTGCTCGTTGACGTAACCATGCTTGTCGTCCTACTTGGAGCGAACCACTGAATACCTCGGTAATTAAACCTATGGATTTTAAGAAAATTTTTTAAAAAAATGAAAATAAAAGATATCAAATAACAAAATAACAAATGCAAACACTATACCGATAAGAATGTTCAAAAGCATGATTACAGTTACGAGACCTGTGAAATTTCACAAAAAAAGTTAATATGCATTTAATTCTTAAAAAAATAAAAATAAAAGAACCGTTTCCTTACTTACTGAATAAAATCATCAAGGCATACAAGGACCAATCTGGTTCAAAACCCAATACGCTATCCCATCCAATACCTAGAAAAAAATAAGTAGCTAAAACTGAAGAATCAAATCTTTGCCACATATTAGCATTATCATCGGGTATTTGATTCAGTTTTATCTCTGCAGAATTTCCCGAACTATCTGTTACTGTCCCACTAAATGTTGGAACAAGATCCGCAGGATTCTTATCACGTAAAAGGATGTACAATGCATTTGCAAATCCCTAGTCAAAAAAAAAACCGTTAAATTTGATCCAAAACAAGAGAAAAGAAATTTCAAGATGATTATATTTACAAGCACTATAATGAATAAGGTCATCAATAATGTTTTGATCCGTTTACCAATTACAATCACGATTGCGATGAATTTCCCAGTTGCCTCGAATGCTCTTGATTTCAACAACTAATAATCAAAATTAAATCAAAATTAATCACTCTCAAAGTTGAAAACAACGGAGTTACTTTTTCGATAATTTAAATTTTTAATACCCCATTAAGCCATATACATAAAACCGCAAAACTTATCAACCATGTTGGCGGTTCTTGTTTCATTAGGAGCATTAAAGAAGTTGCAAGAGGTAAACAATAGCTCGCCAAATCAACATAATTAAAAAAACTTGTCCAATAATTTTTAAATCCACAGGACATTTGTCTTATTTCTTGCAACAAAAACATCATTGAAATAATCGCTGTGACTGTAAATTCGCTATTTGAATTTCTACTTCGTGGCTCAATTTTAGATTCAATTGAAACTGTCAGACAGAATATAATTCCGAAGATTATATAAAATGAGAACTGCCATAAATATAGGCGTTTCGCAAATTTTTCCCTTTTTTTTTTTAAAAAAAAAAAAGATAATAGGTCAATATTTTATTAAGACAACAAGATATATATATTTACTATGTAAGATAACAAAACTTACCACTTAAATTTTATTATAGCTTCCATGGCAACTTCACTAAACATCTCAGCCGGCCCATTTAACGCCACCTCGGCGAACGGACTTCTTTGTGCCGGAGCAAAATAAACGTAGAAAAATCGATACATCATATCAAATAAAGATGAACTACCTTTTTCACACAAACTAGGATAGACACAAAAATCTGGCAAGGGAACAACACATAATTTTGCGGGATGGGTTTTTTTCACGTCTATTAAACGTTGTTTACGTTGCTTTAGCTGAATAGAAATTCCTTTGTTCATATCTTGTTTCTTATCTGGATAGTGCGTTTCTTTTGGATAATAAATTAGAGCTCCTGTATAATGACGTGTTTTATTGCTAAGATTTGATGGCCTAAACCATTTATTAATTATTGTTCTTTTGTTTTTATCATTAATAAAACCAATTCCTTTTGGCAATCGAGCTATGCGTGCTACAGCTTTTAATTCTTTATGCCAACTTCTTTCTTCCCCGAACGATAAATTTGTTTGTAAAATTCTCGCGGGAGCCTCTAAAGAAACTGTAAAGTAACTTGATTCTTTCATAACGAAAATTCCTTTGTCGGGATAATACTGATATAATTCCAATAAAGATTTTCCTAAGGTCCAAGCGAACCCAGGTTTTTGAACAAGTTTTTTATCGAGATTCGTAGAACTCGAACGATTGCGTACTGCGACATGGCGTTGCTTTAAATTTTTAATGATATAATTAACCATTTGTTCAACCAACTCTGATTTTTGAAGCTCTATTAATAATAATAAAGCGCTTTCGGAATGATCTTTGTCATGAAAAAGAGGAATATATCGGTCATTTTCAAGGATACTTTTTACCAAATCATCCCAACCAAACAATATGAAGTCTTCCATGGGGTAAAATTCGGTATCATTCCAATAACATTTGTTAAAAGCTGAAGGAAATTGTATGACCGAAGAATCTATAAGCTTCTTCAATTGATTCCTGATTGTCAATTGATTAAAGTGCTGTATATTAGGCGCAAATATTAGTCGAAGAAAATGTACCGCAGCTAACGCATCAGACACTATCCTGTGCGTTAATTTATCATCCTCATTTGGTATAGGTAAGGATGTCATTTCGTTATTTGTAAATTGTACATGAAGCATTGTATGCTCGGGTGGTTTACTTGAATCATTTTCGTCTTGGACCGTTTCCAAAATTACAGATTTTATACAAGATTTGGTGACCCATATATATTGTAATTCCAACTTTAAATATTGTCCTTTAGGTTTCGTCTTGTAAATTTGTACACTTTCATTTCCAACCAGGACGAATCTCTTTCCCTCAGGGTCTAACCAACGAACAAATATCCCTTTATTAGACCAATTATTCCAATTCCATGGCTCAAATTTAAACTCGCACTGCAAAACGTTATCACTATTAAAAATTCGACCCCAACATATAATACACTTTGATCCTTGCTCAAAGCTTATAGTGATTAATAAACCATTCTCACTTGATTTGCAACCACGAAATGATGTTTTAGTTAATGCTTCCATTGTAACTGATGGGTGATTTGGAATTAATGAAAAGGTACATAATTCATTGCCAACTGATTGAACAAATTTATCCCCAAGAAACAATAGTGGTTTGTCATGTTTAAGGTTAAGGAATGTTTCTTCGAAAACCAATCTTCCGGCCCAACAATCCCACAATTGCACGCAAACCCCTTCCCCTTCTTTCGAACAAACGATTATATGATCAATTTTGGACAAGAACGAAATATGGAAAGTAGTCCTATTAACTTCGAATTCGGAAATCGTTAATGCCGTTGGAGTGTGAAATATACTTAGCGAACTTGATGACGCCCCAGGTTTATCTTTCTGTTCCTCATAAAATCTAAAGATTATTAAAGTTAATATATGAATCATTTATAAATATAAATATTGCGAATTAAATGATAATTAATCTTATTACCTAGCTACGAGATTACCATTGGGAGAGATGGCGAATAAGTTTCTTGAATTTGAAATATTTCTTGCCTCAACATAAAACCATTGTTTTAACATTCCATCTGTATCCCAAACCGAAAGTCCTGATCGATTTTCAGCCCAAATTAAATAACCAAATTTCAAACTTTCGATCAAGGCATCATAAATGTGCATCAAAAATTCGTTACTAGAATCAGAATATCTTGGACAAGAATGAATTAAAGCCGAGATGTCAATACTGTAATTTAACCTCCAACTTTTTGTAGAATATAAATGCATCTCATTTTTAGTAAAACAAACTAATCTTTGATTATTTACAAATATTAAAGGACCTGAAATATCCATTGTATCTAAATTACCTAATTTTGTATTACATTGTTCTTTATGATGATTTATTGAGTAAACCACGAATGATGATTGTGTATTCACAGAGTTTGAATCTATTGAAATCGCATCATCCATATTCGGCGAATCTTTTTGATTGTCTTCCAATATTTTCATATTTGATATTGCAACATATTGACCATCTTCAGAGACTGAAATATAAACTTTGTATTGATCATTCGATGCGGTCGTCTGGTTATACGAAGTTCTGATACTGAATATTGAATTAATCGGTCCATTTTGACTATCGATTGGAAAAACTGCAAGGATTCCGTCCGTCGAACTCCAAGTCGTTATAAATTTATTGCCCGGGGACAAGGCCATAACGTCGATATCGTACTCAACGAGTGATTTTCCTCTTTCCAATTCATTTTCATCATTATTACCCCCAATCTCTAATGAACCCCTAATTGATTTACTTAAAGCTGACCAGGAGTCTGAAATTTTTTCGAACACCTTATGTGAAGCTTCACTTAAAATTGATTTATCTGATTCACGACTTTCTTTACTACCAACTTTATTACACGATGTTTTAAAATTTTCTAAACTTAATGAATTAGTTGGAGGCCTCCCTATAATTGGGCTACCGGCATCGATAGTGATTACTGGGATAATGTTCGTATCTAGAACCAATTCATTATCCATTGTTGTCTAATTTTTTACGAATTTTTTTTTTTTTTTTTTTTTTTTTTTTTAAAAAAAAAACCCTGACTGACTGGGGGTTTATATAAATTATTATATACCGACAAATATGGAATAAACAATCTGTAGATTTATCTATATTCATATAAACTATTCAGGCAAAAAGATAATAAACAACGTGTATAAATGTTTTAATTTAATTACTAAACTAGAGTACAAAATGATCACGAGATTTACACTACATCATTACATAAATATATAAATATAAATTGATTCCAAAGTGATCGACTATTGTAAAAAAACATCCAGTAATTATAAATTTTTTAGTTTTTCTATCAAAAAAGGTCAGAAAAAATTCTGATTTTATAAAAATGTCTATTTATATAATAATTAAATTTTAATTTCTTTCCATAAAAAGATTTTCTTCTTTTTTAATAATGGGTGTACTCTCTGGGACGGAAATAAAGAGATACTTGAAGGAGAAGTACGTAAATTTCTCCGATATATTCTTTATTTAAGCAATTAATATAACGATATCGTTATTTCTGGATTTAGAAAACTTACAATCGAGCCTTTTGATCATGCTAATATCGGTGCTGCAAGGTAAATTATTATATATTAATATTTTTCAGACAATTTAATTAATAAATTATAAATTATCTACATTTTTAAATCTAGCGTTGATCTAACCCTCGGAAACGAATTTAGATATTTCATTCATCATAACGGTCCAGTGTCGATTAGTGATGAAGCTGGTGCAAAAGATTATCAAAAATTTTCAAGAATAGTAATTGTTAAATTTTTAATTTTATTTTAATTTTGTCATTTAAGGTTTATTGTATATATTTTTTTTATTCTTAGTTGAAATGTGAAGATGGTAAACCTTATTATCTTGGGCCTGGTCAAATGTGTTTAGGTTTGATTAAGAATTTTTCTTTTTTTTTTTTTTTTTTTTTTTTTCTTATGGAATTGAAATTAACAATTTTTTTTTTTTAGGAATTACCAGAGAGAATGTTAAATTACCATCAGATTTATGTGCATTAGTCGGTAAGTAAAATATTCTAAAGTCCAAAAATAAAATAGTAATTTCTCAGCTGATTAAAATCCCTTTCATAGAGGGAAGATCAAGGTTTGCTAGGTTGGGGTTATCAGTACATATAACAGCATCATTTATAAATCCTGGAGTAGATAATCAAACAGTTTTAGAAATATTTAATGCTTCAAGTTTAACTTTAGCATTATATCCTGGAACAAAAGTTTGTCAAATGATCTTTATGACTATGGAAGGTAAAGCTGAATATAAAGGAATTTTCCAAGGTCAAGCGTTGTAATTTTTATGGTAAAAGTCTTTATTTATGATAATTTAATACTCCACTAAAAATCATACATTTTACACGCGCATTCAAATTTTATGATATCGTTGCTGTAGAAATGGTTAATGGTTCACATAATGAACAACAAAAACCATTGTATCCCTTTACAAAAGTTTTTTGACATTCGTATTCCGATTCTCCGATTGTTGTTATTGCGCCTCCATTTATTTATTTGTATTACAACTTTAAGAACTTGATGCATTAAATCACAAATATTCTTAAAAAATTATTTCTCATTCAAAAAGAATTTTATCTATAATAATGAGACAACTCCCTAACTTTATATTTCATTGGGCGCATCATCCATAATTAGAATTTTAGAAGTATATTGCAATTTAACCAAATCAGTGATAAATCGTATAATGATTTTTTGTTAATCCCTCCAATTTTGGATTTCGGATAAACGCCGATTAAAAATTGATTTAATACCAAAATAAACATGTAATATATTTATAATCATGTCAACTAATTCAATCAATATTATATCTCATCATTTACGCCTAATGACTTTTATTCTTGATTCATTTCTGGGTAGATTGAAATATTTTTATCTAGAAGTTTTCAATTGTAGTAGATTCATTACGCTTGCAGTTTTACTTTTTTGGGATTTTTATGTATTATATCCTAAATAAAAAAACTGATTGAATTTAAACGAATTTTAGTTTATTAAAAAAATAAATTAAATATATCTATTTTATAAGAATTATAAATGTCACAAATTATATTTAAATTTTTTTTAGCAATTATAATATAGTATTCATTAAATTTTCATATTAAAGCATTAGAAATTTTATTTGATTTAATATATGGGTAGATTGCTAGGAAAATCAGGTTCCGGGAATTTTTTAGCAAAATTGAGATTTTTATTGCATTTTAGTTTTTGATGTAATTAGATTAAAATGTATTAAGCTCTTAATTTTAGTCAAAAATTTCTCAGAACCTGATTTTCCTAGAAACACTCCCATATATATTTATAAATCACGAAAATTTTAGAAATATAATAGATATAGGAGTGGATTATGTTGTTTATTTCGAAACAATAGAAATAGATAGCTAAAAAATAGCATTAGGTATGGGAGTGGCAGAAAGGAACACTCATTTGATGGGTTAGGGCTTGAGATAATTGCTTCTTTAAACGTCCATTACTACATCATATTTTTTTAGAGCTAGTTCCAAATTTATTGTGATTAATACAATTATACAATGTTTATATGTTTATATAATAATTTGAATTTACGTAAACTATTGCTATTTTGTAACAAATGTTCTAAAATTAATGTTGATATCAATATTATTCCAGCGAGAGATATATTTTAGATGGGTTTGGTAGTATATTATGTGAGAAAAGGAGTGCAATTGAATTGTGAAGAGCATTTAATACAGATGTTATTAACTTCTATAACTAGAAAATAATTCTATTATCATGCTTCAACTTTTTAAATGTATTTTCACTAATATCAAGTTTAGTCTTCATATCATCCAAATTGCTGAAGGAACATTTCAAATTTATGTCATGACGCTGATTATCAGTGAAGCTAAGGATTTTAGAAGGAGCTGAATTAATAAATATTTTTTCATTTGCTATGCAAAAAAAATAGAGAACGCATCAGCCAGTACTGCAATCAAAAAAGAATGACTTCAAATTAATGAACGTACCAGATGCAAATTGTGCTTAGTTGGCATATGTGAATCTATAAAAATCATGAAATTGTTTCCTTTATACTAATGCACTGTTGTTTTTACACTTTATAATCAGGTTTTCATTTGATTCTGCGTTTGTAAGGAATAAGAGAGCCCAATTGTCTATAGGAACATCCTTTATACTTTCAGAGATCTTATAAGAAATTTATTAATAAACAATTAAATGATACATATGATACCTATTATAGGTAAAGAACTATTACCTTTTCATATTTATCATTGAATGAATCTTGATCAATAATCATTGCTTCAAGTATCTCAATATTGGTGTATTTTATTTGCTAAGCAATACAGAAGATATCATTTTCAGAACTTTCATAATTAATGTACTTATGAAAATCAAAGACATTCTAGGGTGTACTGGATGCATTTAGAAATACAAAATCCATATATTTCTCATTCTTAATATCTTCATTTTTCAGAAAATCAAGCTTGGTATAGCAATGTAAACTCTCTCCTATTTCATTCATATTTTTGTTTTTGTTAGTCTTAGTAACTAAATAATATAATTTACGTTTTAGTTTTAGTGTGACTTCTATATTGCAATTTATAGGAAAATAGTTATAATACCTAGATACCAATATTGTAATTTACACAATTTGATGTCTTTAGGAAGGATAATTTCAGCCTCCTTTGAAAAGCCATAGGAAAAATTTGCACTATTAAGGAGTTCTTCCAATTTGATTTTCTTATATCCTAATAAATGAAAGAGACTGAAGCGTAATGCTCAGAATTTAGCATTGAAATTCTCAAAGTTCTGCAAATACATTAGCTCATTATAATCAAACATGAATTTTTAATAAGGGTCTTTAAAGGCTTAAATGAGAACACTTGCTCATGTGTAAGGTAATCGAATCTGATGGTCTCCTATAGACAGTTTTACTAAGATCAGATTCAAGATACCTATTGAATTAAAATCCTGATAACTTGTTGATCATTCTTCAATCATAATCTCATCCATTTTTTTCACTGGCAAACCTAATATGGCTTTTGCAATAACTTTTGTCAACCATCTTGAGTACGTTGCTAAATTATAATCATCCCTAATAATATGTTTGACAGTTAACATGACATCACTTAGTTTCACATTGATAAGACTATTCCTTTGTTGCAACTTTTTTCAAAAGTTCTGTAGAAATATTCTAAAGATCTTGCGTGTCCTCTAATATCACTAATATTGACTTGAAAATAAGGATAACATTTGACATAATTGTCATCAAATAGATTTATAGTCTTACCAATCTCAATCACATATTTCTCTTTGAGGAGGTATAATGGAAAGCGAAATGGTTTATGTATAGATTCTATGACATACTTATCTAAAGGTCTCTCTATTATTTCAGCCAGAATAGGAATGAAAAAATATTATTAAGCGGTGAATATATTATTCCTCTAATGAAATGTACAAGCTTTTTAGAAGTATCTTTGTCAATATTATATAATTTATTGAATTTATTGAATTCATCAATGCCAAGGACTAAGACCAGCAGAGAATTAGGTACTATTTGTTTTATTCGCATAATATTAATGAATACAACTTGAAGAGCAATACTTAGGGTAAAATTTGAAATGTTTAAATTACTGTGAAATCCATTATAGATTGAGCGAAAGCTAGAAAAATCAAATTTGCCTATTTCAGATGGTTGTGATCAAAAGTACTCAAACAGAATATGTATTGCAAAAAATACCTGTACTGTAATATTTATATCTATATTATCAACTAGAGATTCATTTCCGTAGGTTGTGTTTATAACAGTCATATTAGTAAAAACTTTCTGGATTTCATAATTATCAGATTCGTTAGCACATTAACTGAGAAATTGTTCAACTTTATTCAAAAATCTACTCTTTTCCATTTCAGAACCATCAGTTATAATAAGAATTAGATGAAGATTTTTGTCAATTTTATTACGGATTTCAAATCAGCTCATGATTCCATTCTGATCTATCAACATATCATCATTCTAAAAGATGTTAATAGCATCATCTCACCTACAGAACTTGAAGTTCTTATTGAAGATTTTAACAAGCTGAAAAGGTCAATTTGATTTTAGTCAAGGAACTAAGAAACAATTATTAAAAAGTGATAAAGCTGGAAAACTTACTAGGTTTTGACCACAGTTTAATATGAATTATTACATCCATTTGTAGATAGAAGATGCATTGTTTCAATTAGGTTCTAAAGCAGATAGCCAATAGGTAAATGAGATTTGTTAGAGGATTTCATTCAGGATAATAGATTCTCAAAGTTATTAATAGGAGATACTGTATTTTGTGAGACGCCTTGCTGAGAGGGATCTGTTTAATACGAAAAAAAAGAGATCAGATCAATCAATATTTTATTACTGCAAATTTCTCGTTTAAAAGGAAAAACATTAGGAAACACTTACTAGTAGTGAGGATGATGATAATGATGAAACTTACAGATTCATAATCTTCATCATATAATTTATCCAATTCAACTTGAAAATATGTACTAAATGGTTTATTAAATTGCATTTCTTCTTCATGAAGTTTTTGAATAATGTCTTCTTTGGTAGAAATACTTTGCTCTTAATATCTTTAAGCTTAAAACTATTAAGTTTTCAAAGTTTCAATTTATTTATGTTTATATTGGAAATGTCAACTTCTTTATAGATATAGTCTCTAAGATGTCTAACTTTGAGTTTCTTTAAGAAAATCTTTGTAATATCAAATTCGACATATCTTTTTATATTTTTATTATCTTTGTAAATGTTAACTGCAAGAAGAAGTTCATAACTGTTACTTTGAAGTATGTAAAAATCAAATAATATATCCATTGCTATAAAAAATTATAAAAAGAATAAAATATTTAGAAAAAGTTTAAAGAAAAGTTTAAGGTTGAAAAAGAGAGGTATATATATATTTTACTGAATACATCATAACATAATAATAAAATACTCTTGATAGACTTTTTGGTGACTTGTAGTAATATAATACAGCAAATAATATAAGATACTTTGATAAAAAAAATGATTAATGAAGTTTAATCATTACTCAGATTTGTGAACGGTTCTCTGATTCTTAGCAGTATTTATTAAAAAAGATGAATTGATATTACATAATTTTAGATCAGTACGATTGACTGTATTTGACTAATTTGGATAGCTTTTTTATATTAATAAAGCATAGTAATAGTTAGTAACATGATTTTTACATAGCATGTTTTATTATTTCTCTGAGCTTAAACGTTATAGACTCGCTTAAAAGAAACTGACATATCGCAGTTTGAAAGAAGTGCTGAAGAAATTTGGATGAGACACTTCGCAATTAAAGTATTAATGAAATATATTTTTTAGATTGTAGTTTTACAGGAAAATGATTCCAAGATTTGCAAATGAATGATATTTTCTTGTACAGATTTTGAATGTTATTATCCATTGATTTATTTTTCAACACTGCATACAATATCATATTACATCCATTTATTTCTTTTAATTTACACAAACTTTCCATTATTTTTCTCATTCACATTTTCATTCCTTTTTATCCTCCTCTTCTCAACATTCATAATAGTACTAAAATCATAAAATTCTGATCATTTGTTATCAAATTATCATTTCTTAAGTTTTTTCTATATTTTATCTATAATATACAATCATATCTTCGTATTCTGACATTTTTGTATAAGTCATTGTGTCAATCACGTGATATTTATTGCATCTTGTAGGATTTATTTCATCTATTGTGTCCATTTATATCTATATGTTATACTAAAGTCCAAATAAGGATATTTTATGTTATCGCGACCAGAATGAAGAGACAGTCCTGTTAGTACAAAATTCTTTTTATAGTTATTCATTTGCCAATCATTTGCATTACACAAAGATCTATATAATAACGAAGCTTAAAAGTTTTTATATTATTATAAAACTTATTTTAAAACTTCTAATAATACAAAAACAGTTTTAAAACTTATATTTAAAAGAATTAAAAAAATTTGAAATATTTCTTGTATAATATGAAAAAAATAAAACTATTAAATAATAAATCATTTATTATATTTTAATTTATTTTCATTGCTTTTATAAAAGATATAAAATATTATATATATTATCATTATATATTAAATTTGTATATAGTTTAGATTATGTAATCATATTTATTATTTTATTATTGGTTAATTGTTTTATCAATCATACTTATTATAAAAATACTAATCAATATTTTAAACTACAGAGGGTGGACAAAAGTATCCGCACACTTTTTCACTCAATATAAAACTTATAATTTTTTTGCATTAACAATAA